ATATTGTATATATATATATATATATATATATATATATATATATATATATATATATATGCAATATTTTATAAAATCTACCGAATTTGTAGCTTTTGAAAATCGTGGGTGTTCAAGGTGAAGTGTACAAGGCCATATTTCGATTTTGCTCATCATCAGCACTTATATAGGAATATTTCAATGTTTTACGATTCTTTGTGTGTGCAAAGTGCTTTTATTCTGCTTTGCTTTGCCCTACCCGTTTATTATATCTTAGTCCTGTCAATTTATTATATCTTTGTTTAGTTCATTCTCTTTACTTATGAAGTCTTTCAATAATATTCTTTTGATCAGTAGTTATGTTGCTGTTCTTTGCTGCTTGTTAGTTTGAGGTTTTCTTTGGTCAATGAAGATCGCTACAGCAATTCTTAGGTGGTTGTGTTCTTGTTATTTTATATCATACTAGTATTGTTTACTAATATCTCTTGTGATGGGATCGTTTGATATATAATTTCCAGGTGAGTCCTAATGGCATCGCTCCTGCGCATTGTAAAGTGGTGGCGGTGGCGTAAAGAGAATGAACAAGACAAAGATATAGCAAATGGACAGAACCAAAATATAATAAACGGACAGGTCAACAACAACAACACACGTTTAGACGGCATTTTCCCCGAGATCGGGGGTTGCCGTTTGGCTACCTATGATGAAACCGAAATACCCCTCGACTCCATCCACATCTGTCACTCGCCTCAGTACCACGCAACCCGCTTTCACCCTGTCCTTCTCCACCTGCTCTCTCCATCCTAACCGCGGACGACCCCTTCCTACCACTCCTTCAACCTCGAACTCCAACGCTCGCCTAATCCCGACCCTTTCATCCCTTCTCAACACATGTCCATACCACCGCAATCTCGATCTCCTTATCAATGTCACAATGTCCTCATTCAGTCCCATCATTGACATCAGCTCTGTACTACTCCTCCTATCCTTCACTTTAACCCCACACATCATCCTCACCATAGCTCTTTCAGCCCTCTGCAGTACACTTTCCTCCTCTCTCCTCAACACCCAAGTTTCACCACCATATATCATCGCTGCTCTCACACATGCTTTATATACCCTCCCTT